ATACACAAGCTTGTAATCAATTGTTCCCTTAAGATATCTCATGACCTTTTTAGTAGCTCTCCAGTGGTCCAAACCCGGATTACTCTGGTAGTGGCCCAACATCCCGACAGCAAAGGAAATATCCGGCCTGGTGCAAACCTGGATATATCCCAAGCAACCAACTGCTGATGCATATGGAATATTATGCATCGATTTTCGTTCAAAATCATTCTTTGGACATTGGTCCAAATTGAATTTATCTCCTCTCACTATGGGAGCAACACTCGGTGAACAATCCTTCATCCGAAACCTCTCTAAAACTATGTCGATATAGGTTTCTTGTGATAGACCAAGAATACCAAGAGATCTATCCCTATGGATCTTTATGCCATTGACAAAAGATGCCTCACCCATATCCTTCATATCAAAATTTTTAAAGAGAAATTGTTTCACTTCATGTACCATCTCCTAATCATTTGTTGCGAGCAAAATATCATCCACATATAAAACAAGAAAACAAATTTTACTCCCACTAACCTTCTGGTATATACAATGATCCATGGGACTTTCAACAAAACCAAAGGAAGAAATTATCCCATCGAACTTGAGATACCATTGTCGGGGGGCTTGATTTAAACCGTAAATGGATTTATTAAGCTTGCAAACTAAATGCTCATCATGACTAGAAGAAAAACCTTCAGGTTGTTTCATGTAAACCTCTTCTTCTAGATCACCATTAAGAAAGACCGTTTTCACATCCATTTGTTGCAATTCAAGATTGAAATGTGCAACTAAGGCTAAAATCACACGAAGGGAATCTTTCTTAGAAACAGGAGAGAATGTCTCCTTGTAGTCAATTCCTTCGATTTGAGTAAAACCTTTAGCAACAAGTCTTGCTTTATATATATCAATGTTGCCTAATGAATCCATTTTGGTCTTATAGACCCATGTGCAGCCAACAACCTTGACCCCATTAGGCAACTCTACTAGATCCCATACTTTGTTACTCTTCATGGAGTCCATTTCTTCCTTCATGGCATTGTACCATAAATCAGACTCCTGGCTTCTCATGGCTTGTGAAAACGTTTCAGAATCATCTTCGGCTCTAATGTCAGTTTCTTGCAAATACACTTCATAATCACTAGGAATTGCTGACCTTCTAACTCGAGAAGACCTTCTTAATGTTGAACCATCATCTCCTTGAGGATCTTCAGGTTCAACTACCGCATCAGGAATTTGATTTTCCTGAATAGGTTGATCCACTGGAATATTTTCAGCATATTGTGGAATTTCTGTAGTAGGTTGATGAGTACCAATTTGACCTTGAGGGGTGCTTTGTACAATAATCAACCTCTGTGATGACGTGGAAGGTTGGGATTCCGTATGATCATGAACAGGAATCAAGTCCCTGAGCCGATCTCTCCCACTAACTACGTCATTCTCAAGAAATTTTGCATTTCTTGATTCCACAATCCTAGTCGTATGAGATGGACAATAAAACCTATAACCCTTAGAGGACTGCGCATATCCAATAAAGAAACAACTAATAGTCCTTGGGTCCTATTTCTTCTCATGTGGGTGACGAGCACTTTGTCACGGTGCGTCAAAATAATTCAGTACTAACACTTATACGTAGTATAGCGTAGTAGAGTTCGTATCCACAGGGAAAGGAATAATTCTCTTTTTATGAAACTTAGTAAATAAAAGGGGGGTTTAAGTGATGAATGATTTAATTAAATTAAAAACTAAGATTACGACTTATATGAGATTTAATTCAAAGATAAAAAGGACTTGACATTGCTAATTTCCACTTGTTGATATATTTTAGTTGATCATTGTTATATCTATAACTTATTCCCTCTCGAATACTCAATCAGGGAGTATATCCACTTCATCGAGGGTAGTAATTAACAACGACCGTTCATTAATAACCCTTACTATCAATCAAATATAGAACAACGCCGTATACCGATTTAATAGTAGCATTTGATCTTTCTAACTCCTTGATGAAATCAATTGAGATTGATAACCTCAACACAACGGTTTCGGTTTAACCAACAAAATTAATTCCTCTTAAGTTTATTAACCACGACCGTGCATTAATAAACCGAAGTTACTTACTTGTGAAACCATCAACAATTAACCATCGGTTCGTTGATCGTTTCTAGTAATAATTAATATATGAAACAAAACTAGTTGATCCTTTAAGTAATGTTCAAAATATTAATATGAAGTATGAATAGGAATTAATTGATATTCAAGGAAGAATATTATTAAAGAAGATGAATCCTACTATAATTAATATCAAGATGTTAACTAATTGTCATCTTAGCAACACTCCCCAACATTAATATAGAGGAAGAAAATACTACTATAACGAATGTCAAGATGTTAGCTAATTGTCATCTTAACAACACTCCCCAACATTAATATAGAGATAGTATTAAGGAAAGAACTAATAATTAATATTCAAGGGAAGAAGTTTAAGAAAATAACTCACAACTTTAATAATCAACAAACTTCAAGAGCGACACCAAGAAAGAGAAGTTTAGCTCCTCATTTGGAGACTAAACATGCTATAAAAATATAAGAAATGTTATTCCAAACTGAGCTTAGGAGTATAGAAGAAGGGATTCTTTTTAGAAAAGAAAAACAGTGCTATTTATAGGTGTTTTTCAACACCTTTGGTCGGGTACCCGACCAGGTCAAGTACTTACCCGACTGGGTCCGGTCAAAATCAGATAATTCACCACGTTCTGATGATCTTCGCACGCCGGGTTGTCCCCGGTCACTTCTCACCCGACCGGGTGAGGTATGGGGCCCGACCGGGTCCAGCTCTTTCCTCAGCAGTTCGGTTTTCAAATCAGACCCGACCGGGTGAAGTTTCCTACCCGGTCGGGTATTTGCTCCTGGACAGTCAAAATTCCTTTTTCTTTACTTCAACATCCTCCTTTTCAACATCCTAATTCCTAATTCTACTTTTCAACTTACAAATGAGAACTAAAGTACAATTACAACTAAAATCACACAAATGTGTACAAACTAAATATTTTATTGAAATTGAAGGAAAAACCGAATGGTACTAGTCTTGATGGGTCAGAAATATTTATTGAATAATTCAATAACTTTATTCTTGAAATTGAAGGAAAAACCGAATGGTACTAGTCTTGAAATTGAAATCATGTTTCGTGAGAAACTTGGTACATAAAAAGTCTTTTCCAAAGTTAAAACAAAGTCACTACTTAAAATTAAAGTGCATCTTCCGATGGCTTCCACGTGTGAGCCCATCTTGTTTCCAGATAAGATGCTTTGCTCACTTCCCACTGGCTTCCTTAGATTCTGCATACCCTGTAAAGAGTTTGCAACGTGGATTGTAGAACCAGAATCAATCCACCACGAATTAGTGTTAACATCACACATATTGGATTCATGACAAACAAAGGAGGATAAGTTACCTTTATTCTCCAACCACTTCTTGAACATGACACAATCTTTCTTCATGTGTCCTTTCTTTTTACAGAAATAACACTTGTGCCTTCTTAATGTGAGCTTTGGGTGGTATTTTACCTTTACCCTTAGCTTTAGAGGTGGTTGTAGGAGACTTATCAAATTTGTTCTTGATGTGCTTTCGCACACCCTTAACGGCTGTGAGACGGAGCTGAGTGAGGAGAATTTCATGATTAAGGTACTTTGTAAAGCCTTTTCTGAAGTGACAATTTGATCATCAATAGCCTTAAGCAAGTCATTGACATTCTTATGCTGATCAACCGAGCCACGAATTCCAGCTGAAAATTTAGTTTTGATAAACATTACACTGAGCCGATTGGATCTCTCCCATCGCTCATATAGCGCAATTTCAGTCGGAATACTTTGTGCATTAATGGCAAGTGGTTCACCCTTCCTAATAGCATAATCAATGTCCATGCAACCTAAGTGTAGGAGAACTCTTTCTCTCCAAACCTCATAGTTGTCACAAGTTAGTTCGAGAATTTCAAGGCATAACAAAATTTCGGAATGAGTAATGGGTTGAGAAGCTGAAAGAAGGTTCATATATAACTTGTGTTAGTTTTGAGGTACATATATAACTTTATTGCATGCATTACCAATGTAAATGATGCAACATGATGACTCAACCGCCATAAAATTGCCTGTGGGCTAAATTCTTATGCATGAATCTTAAAAATTTTGTACCCATACCAATAAACATATCAAACTATATTCCGAATCATAATTTCCTGTGGGATAAATTATGACCATAGTCCGATATTTTATCCTAATTAATCATACAAATATAACAAAATTTCCTGTGGGATAAATTATGTCATATCACATATAATTAATTACAAATTTTATGCCTAACATTAATGCCATAGGGGGATTTCCGCCATGGCTAATCGAGAACCAATTGACTGGGATTCGATGTGTAGAGCTATGAAACGACTCAAGCTAATTACACAGCTTATGGAGCCGAAAACCGTTGAAGCATATCAGAGAATCGGGGAGTTGATGGCTAGACCCCTTGAAAGTTTTGACGACTTTAAAGATGAGGAATCCAACTCACTCGGCAAGTCAAAAGCAAACAACTTGTGTCGGATGCTTCTACGTGCAGAAGAATGTTCGGAGTATATGAATCCGATCAACGAAGAAGCTGAAAGGAAAATTAACGAGTTGTTGGTTAGGCCTCTTGAAAGTTTTGATATTGATGAATAATTTTGTATTTGTTTGTTTGCTTATTATGATAAATGATTAATGTTTTGTTAGTTGATTGTGATAAAAAAAATTGTGCGTTTCGTACTTATCTTTTAATAATGATGAAGAAATAAATCAAATATTGTTGGACTACAATAATAATGAAGAAAAGAGCACAAATATTCGAACTCAAAAAAATTGTAATACAACAATACAATTAGTCACTATCAAAATCATTATTTTCTACACATACAACATCTTCTTCTGTATCAGAACCGTCTATCCATTCTCCTTCTTCCTGATATTGAGCATTTTGTTGTTCTTCTTGCATTTCAACAATTTCACGCTCAGATGGAGTTGTTAGGTCCGGAAGGTGCATTTGTGGCATGACTTCAACACTTCCCCCATTTGGATCACTTAGCTGAATGTGCTGGTTGACCGTCTCAACAATCGGCGGAGGTTGGAAAAAATGTTGCTGAAAAGAATCTAAATCAACGTCCTTGGGTTGAGTTTGTGATACAATTTTGCTCGGACGGACAATACAAAATTGTGGTACAATTTTGTCCGCCTGGTTGAAGGGTATTCTGCATAATAAATCTGGGTTGCTTGTTGAGCAAGTATAAAAGGCTCATTTTTCGTATACACGCGAGAGTGGTTGACGTCAATCATATTATACTTTGAATTTTTTCGCACATCACGTGTTGGATCGATCCATTTGCAGCGGAACAAAATGCATGTCAACCCGCTGTTCACTGTTGGTCGGCCCTGTCCATAACCACCTGTGTGATAGGTGTAACCGTTTGACATGCCAAAATGTGTAGTGTGAAATGGTGTAAAAATGTGAATGGAAATGATGTTTTAATTGGCTTGTAACGATATAGTATAGAGTAAGTGAGTATCGTTCCGCTAGAGAATGGCTCAAAAAGAGAACTAGAATTAACGATTGATTTTTAGCTAATCACAAATTAATAACATTTTGCAATGGAGCTAAGTGAATAGATTTTTTTTAACTTGTTTTTGTTAATGCGAAATTGCTAGAGAGTAAAATAAATCACAATACTTGGTAATTTAACAATTAATGATACAGAGAAAATTAGGCTTGGGCTAAGAGTAATTTTATTTTGATGTTCATAATAATAAAGATTTAACTAATTAACTTAGTTACTTTTAGATGTGTGAAAGATTTACAAATGGTAATCTTCTAATCGTTCCCACGACTTAGTTGATTACACTATCTTAAATTAATTCTGCTCCCGCAGTAATTTTATTAAGACAGTAAAAAGTACAAAATCAAATTATCCTAAATTCCTTAACACTTCCGTGTAGCAATTTAGTGGGTGAATTAATAAAAAGTATTTAAATGAAACTTCACTCCCGTGATAATATTCATTTCCCAATATAATGTATTTAGCAAATTAGAATATTCAACCCAACACTCCTAAAATTAACCAAGTAATAGTTTTAACCAATTATTATCGTATGAACATTAACAATAAAAATTACATCTTGCTCAAACCTAAACTTAATTTAGTTACACATAATTACAGTAAACGAAATAAAAGTAAAACTAATGATAGGCATAATTAATTTAACAGATTAAAGAAAATAAAATGCGTATTTGAATAAGAACCTGATGGCATAAATAATGAGATGGAATAGAGAAAGTGAAATCCTTAAGCTGAGAATGATTCTGGCTGATACTTCCCAAATAAACTTGATTGTTGAAATTAAAGAACTAAAATTCTGGAAATGGAAATACGAACTGAAATTTACAGAAAGTGTTCTTGACATAATCACTTTTATTATATGACTACTACTATGAACAAAGCTAAAGAAAAGAGGAAGAAGATTTCTCTCCCAATTGGTGTGTTTTGAAGCTCCTGGATGGCCCTTTATATAGTAGTAGGAGAAGGGGCTTAAGCATAAAAATCCTGAAATGAAGGTGCTGAAATCAATTTTTTTGGTTAGCTTTTACTTCAATCTTCCATCATCGCCGCTATCAATTTCCTTCTGCAAATAGTAGCTCTCCTGTTCACTGTGTATTTTTTTTCTTCCTTGCTATCTTGCTCTCTCTGGTTGCCGACTGAAAGTGTTTGTAGGTCCCACCAATCAATGAAATCAATTTGGATTACTTGCTTCTTTCCTTCTTGGGAGTTTTACGTGGGAGTCTCCAATCACTCAAAGAGTGAATAGTACTTGCTAGCCAAAGTCTTTGCTAGCCAAAGTCTTGGCTCTTATCCGCCACTTACATTATTTGGGCCGGTTAACTGTTTGATCAGTTAACTGGTCGGCAGTTAACCGGTACATTTTATTGCGGACAATCTAATTTATTTTGAAGTAATTTCGGGTCTCTTGATAAAATATTTCAGAGTTAAAGTAAGGACCCGCTTCACTTTGCTGATTTTTCTGTCTTCACTCAGGAGTAATTTTATTTCTTTTCAAAATTTCAATTTACATCCCGAATTATCCTGAAATTCAAAAATATACCAAAACAAGTGCAATACCTTAAAATGTTCAAGATGATAAAAATCAATCCTTTTTTATTTAAAAAATGAAAAATAAAATATTAAAAGTGTGACAAAACAAGATCATAAATATGGTAAATTAGGAGTGCATCAACTCCCCCACACTTAAGATTTTGCTTGTCCTCAAGCAAAAATATTTACATTCACACAAACAAGCAAGCAAAAATGAATTGCCAAACCATATGTATAATCCTCAAATCATGCACACTTTTCTTTCAATCCACCTTATCAATCAAATTCCCTTGATTTGTCACAAAATAAGAGTAGTGAGAATCATAAAAATATTTTGCATATCATCTGAAAAGTTTTGGTCAAATCTTAACTCTAACAAACGCAAAGTGTGTGATGTGAAAATGGAATCTAGCTTCGTTTGTTCAACCATGCAAAATTATGCAAAATAAGATTTTCCTATCAACTTATTTCAGACAAAACACAATTAAGATCAATTAGGACTTTTCACATTGGGTTATAGGGTCTGTGGGAAAAGGCTTATGAACAAAGGGAGTTAATGAGAAAACAAAAGAAATGAACTTGACATAAATTTAACAAATTTAAAGAGGTACTAAGTAGTGTGTAGGAGCTTTTGGCAATAATCTATACAACACTTGTTATTTTCAACAGTTAGGGGTAGTAAAAAGAGTAATTTAATGTACAAGAAAAATATACAAAAGAGAGAAGCATATACATTGACATTTAGCCTTGTTCACTTTTTTCTTCTTCTTTTTTTTCATGTTTTTTTATTTTTTCTTTTTTTTTCTTTTTTTTTCTTTTTCAATTTTTTTTTCAAGGCTTATTTCATGCTTCTAACAGTAAGAATTTACAAGAATAATATGAACAATGATGATACAACAAGAACAACTACCCCTATAAATGAATATTAACAACTAAGTAATAACAAAAGTGTAAATGAAGCTCCCTTAAGGTGAATGACACTCTCTAAACTCATTAAAATTTTATGCAAGTTCATTTTAGGGTGGATGGACAGTGATTGGCTTTTAGGCTAAGGGTCACATATAACAGGTTTTCATGAAAGAAAATAACAAAAATAGGGTTAAGCGTATAACGCTTATTAAAAAAAATATGGCTCAAAGGGGTGAACAAGGGATATTTATCACATGGGTAAGGCTAGGTATATGGGGTTTATGAAAAATGGCCTATATCATTTCCTAATGTGCTAAGTCAGAAAATCATGTCAAGGAAAATAAAAGCACAGAGCACTCTTGTTTTGCACAATCTTAAACATGTTGAACAACAATTTCACTAGATAACCATTTGCGTGCATGAGATGTATTGTGTCTGTACAAAGTTTAAAATTTGACCAAAATTTTACTCAACGCTCAAAATTATGATTCTCAATCCAATTATTAAGAGACTAGTCCTGCCAACAATCCACATACCATGTGAAAGAATAGAATGCATGATTTGAAAGTTAAACAGATGATAAGGCAATTCACAAACAAACAAACAAACATGCGTATTCTCCCCCACACTTAGGATGAAACATCGTCCTCGATGTGACAAATATATTCAGGGCGGGTGAGTACATGGGTGGGGAAAAAAATCATGCAATGCAAACACACAAACAAAACACACATACAAATGCAAGGAAATAAACTTGGGTTGCCTCCCAAGAAGCGCTATTTTTAACGTCGTGTGCCCGACATTACCTGAGTGTTTTACTCGTAAGGAGGATTGTCCAGATCAACAGTGAGTTTCTCCTTTGTGTCATCTCCTTCATGATATTGCTTAACTCTTTGGCCATTGACAGTAAATTGCCTCCCATCATTTCCCTCCAGAATGATTGCCCCGGATGGATAGGCTTTGATAACTTTGAAAGGTCCAGACCATTTTGATTTCAGCTTTCCTGGAAAGAGTTTTAGCCTTGAGTTGAATAGTAGCACACTATCTCTAGGAGAAAAGTCTCTCCTAAGGATTCTCCCATCGTGCCATTTCTTTGCTCTTTCCTTGTAGAGTCGGGCATTCTCAAAGGCATCAAGTCTGAATTCTTCAAGTTCATTTAGTTGTAACAACCTCTTTTGCCCCGCAGAGTGGAGTCAAGGTTTAGGCTTTGGATAGCCCAATATGCTTTGTGTTCAATCTCCACTGGTAAGTGACAAGACTTCCCATACACCAATTTGAACGGTGATGTGCCAATAGGAGTCTTATATGCAGTACGATAGGCCCATAAAGCATCATCAAGTCGGAGGGACCAATCTTTCCTTGTGGGATTGACTACTTTCTCAAGGACTGATTTGATTTCCCTATTTGAGAGTTCAACTTGGCCACTAGTTTGTGCATGGTACGGAGTAGACACTTTGTGATTAACACCATACTTGAGCAAAAGTTTCTCAAGTTGCTTATTGCAGAAGTGTGTACCGTTATCTGTGATGAAGGCCCTCGGAACTCCAAACCTTGAGAAAATAAATTTCTTCACAAACCGGATCACAACCTTGGAATCATTTGTTGGACTAGCAATCGCTTCAATCCATTTTGAAACATAGTCCACAGCCACAAGAATGTAAGAATTGCCACATGAGCTAGGAAATGGTCCCATAAAGTCCATTCCCCATACATCAAAGAGTTCAACTTCAAGTATTCCGGATTGTGGCATTTCATTTCGGCGACCAATAGATCTTGTGCGTTGGCATCGATCACATCTTTTCACGTACATTTGAGAATCTTTGAACAATGTAGGCCAATAGAAACCTGACTGTAGGACTTTAGCTGACGTCCTTGTGGATCCGAAATGACCACCATATGGTGATGAATGACAATGATAAAGTATAGCCTCAAACTCATCTTCTGGAATGCATCTTCGAACAATTCCATCAGCACATCTCTTGAACAATAATGGTTCATCCCAAAAATAAGAGCGAGCATCATGTAAGAACTTTTTCTTTTGGGACCACGAGAATTCAGAAGGAATATAACCACTGACCAGGTAATTAACCCAATCAGCATACCAAGGAGAAAAGTGCTTGACAGAGAGCAAATATTCTCCCGTGAATGAATCATCAATGGGTAATTCTTTGATCACTTTATTTTCTGTGTGTGACTCAATTCTGGACAGGTGATCAGCGATGACATTTTCAGACCCCTTTTTGTCAAGGATCTCGATGTCAAACTCTTGCAGTAGCAACACCCATCTAATAAGTCGTGGCTTGGCCTCCTTCTTTGCAAACATGTACTTTAGAGCTGAGTGATCAGTGTAAACTATCACTTTGCTTCCAACAAGATATGACCTGAACTTCTCTATGGCAAAGACAACTGCGAGTAGCTCTTTTTCTGTTGTGGCATAGTTTTGTTGAGCATCATCGAGAGTATGACTTGAATAATAAATTGCATGTATGCAACGACCTTGTTTTTGTCCCAACATGGCTCCTACAGCATAATCACTGGCGTCGCACATTAGGATGAAAGGCATGCTCCAATCTGGTGGTTGAATGACAGGTGCAGAACATAATGCTTTCTTAATTTTACAAAAAGAATTAAGACAAGCATCATCAAAGATAAATTCAACCTCTTTGGATAGGAGTCTTGTGAGTGGTTTTGCAATATTAGCAAAATCCTTGATGAATCGCCGATAGAATCCAGCATGCCCTAAAAAGCTTCGGATGCCTTTAACAGATGTTGGCGATGGTAACTTCTCGATCACTTCAATCTTTGCTGGATCTACCTCAATGCCTTTGGATGAAATCTTATGCCCAAGAACAATTCCTTCTGTTACCATGAAATGGCACTTCTCCCAGTTTAGGACAAGATTTGCCTCTTGGCAACGAGTCAATGCTTTATCAAGATTATCCAAGCACGAGTCGAATGAGGTCCCATAGACAGAGAAATCATCCATGAATACCTCCATGATTTCTTCAATAAGATCAGAGAATATAGCCATCATACACCGTTGGAAAGTTCCGGGTGCATTACATAAGCCAAATGACATTCTTCGAAAAGCAAATGTACCATAGGCACACGTGAAGGTAGTCTTTTCTTGATCATCTGGATGGATCATGATTTGAAAATATCCTGAGAATCCATCGAGAAAGCAATAATGGCTATGGTTTGCCATCCTCTCAAGTAACTGATCAATGAAAGGTAAAGGATAATGATCCTTATTTGTGACTTTGTTAAGCTTCCTGTAATCGATGCACATTCTCCATCCCGTGACCAAGCGAGTAGGAATGAGCTCATTATGCTCATTTGGAACAACTGTGAAACCTCCTTTCTTTGGTACAACATGGATTGGACTTACCCATCTACTATCCGAGATAGGGTAAATGATACCAGCATCAAGAAGTTTGATAACTTCTTTCTTCACAACGTCCTTCATGTTAGGATTAAGTCTCCTTTGATGTTCAACAACTGGTTTGCATCCTTCCTCAAGATAAATTCTGTGCATACAATAGTTAGCACTGATGCCAATTAGATCATCGATGGAGTATCCAATGATCTGTTTGTGCTTTCTCAATAGGACCAATAGCTTGTCTACTTCCTCCTCATTCAATTTAGTGCTAATAATCACTGGGTAAGTAGAGTTTTCACCAAGATAAGCATATCTTAGGTGTGATGGTAAAGGCTTCAACTCAACTTTGGGTGGTTCTTTTGTGCTATTAGTCTTCCTCACTTCTTCTCTCTCCAGTTTTTCCACTTTCCCCCCCTCATGATTTTTTTCACAGCTCTCTTTGTTTTTTACACACTCAACTAACTCTTCTCCCTCATGATTGTTTTCAATTTCCTCCACAGCATAAGATTCCATAGGATCATTGTGAAAGAATCCCATGAAGTCTCTCACACATTCATCAACTATATCAACCCTCCAACAATCTTCCACACATGAAGGATTTCTCGCCATTTGGAAAATATTGAACTCAACCCTTTCATCCCCCACTTCAATTATTAACGTACCTTTTTTAACATCAATGATGGCACCAGCAGTGGCCAAGAAAGGCCTTCCTAATATGACAGGTACTCGCTCATCTTCATCCATGTCTAGGACGACAAAGTCACAAGGGATGAAATATTTCCCAACTTGTACAGGAATGTCTTCTAGAATACCAACAGGGTGCTTAACAGATCGGTCAGCAAGCTGAATGGTCATCGAAGTAGCTTTGGGAATACCAAGACTAAGTCGTTTGCTCATAGAATAAGGGATAAGGCTAACACTAGCCCCAAGGTCACACAAAGCTTTGTTGACCATGAACCCTCCAATAATGCATGGAATAGTAAAGCTACCTGGATCCTTCAATTTTTCTGGAAGTTTCTTTTGAATAATAGCACTAGATCCCTCGCTCATGGCTACGGTAGATTTCTCTTCAAACTTCTTTTTGTTTGACAGAATTTCCTTCAGAAATTTGGAATATGAAGGCATATGTTTCAGGGCATCAAGAAGTGGAATTGTTGTGTTAAGCTGTCCGATCCATTTAAGGAATTTATCCCTCCTCTCATCAATTGTGTTCTTCTTTGCTCTGTAAGGAAATGGTAAAGGTGGAACATATGGTTGAACTACCTTTTTCGTGCCCTCTTGTGTTGGGAAATTGAGACCTTCTTCGTTACTCTCCTTTGGTGGTGAAGTCTCTTTTTCAGTTATCTTTTCTTTTTCAACTACAAGTGGTGGATCAGAAAGTTGTTTTCCACTCCTTGTAGTGATTGCATTGACATTCTCCTTGGGATGTTCAGAGTAGGCAGGCAATTTGCCTTGAGCTTTGCTAGTAGATGGTGAAGCAAAACTAGCAATCTGGCTCTCAAGCATTTTGTTGTGAGCTTGAATTTGATTGAGTTGAGTGGTGAGTTGAGAAAATTGATTAGTAATACCTTGCATCATCTGTTGGAAATCATTAACTCCAACAAATTGTTGTTGTTGTTGAGGAGGTGATGAAAATTGTTGTTGCGGTGGGTACCCTTGAGGATTTTGATACCCTTGATTTCCCCTCAATTGTTGGTTGTTTTGGTTTCCTCCTCTGAATCCTTGTTGATTTTGAAATCCTGGAGGTGTTGGTTTGGATGGAAAAGATGAATTTGCTGCACCTGATGGGTTGCTCCATGAGAATCCTGGATGTGTCTTCCCTTGAGGGTTATAGTTTCCTTGATATGGTACTTGGGGTCTACCATATATAGCTTCAGCTTGTTCTACTGTGGGGCCAGAAGGAACATTTTGTGTAAGTTCAAGAAGATTGCATTCCTTAAAAGAATGTCCTCCTCCACAGAGTTCACAGAACAAAACTTGAGCTAAAGATGATGATGGATTTGTTGATGTGCTAGAAGTTGATGATGATTGTTTCTCCGTGAGCTTTTGAACCATGGTTATGAGAGAATCAACCTTTGCCGTTAAAGTTGTTGTTTGGTCGACCTCATAAATTCCCGCTCCTAGTTTTTGAGTGGATCTTTCAGAATACCATGATGCACTGTTGTTACAAATTTTCTCAAGCATCTCTTTGCCTGTTTCAGGATCAAGCTCCATGAAAGCTCCATTAGCAGAGGCATCCACAACAATTTTGGAATTATCATGTAATCCTTCATAAAATGAGACAATGAGATCACCCATGCTCATATTATGATGTGGATATTGAACTTGAAGGTCTTTAAATCTCTTCCATGATTCATAAAGAGATTCTGATGGATGTTGCCTGAATTGCTGGATAAGTTTCTTCATTTTTGATGCCTTGGAAGGATGATAGAACTCCTTCATGAATTCTCGATGCAACTTTTCCCATGTGTTGAAATAACCGGATGGTTTAGAGTTCAACCAACTCAATGCTTCATCCCTCAGTGAGAATGTGAACAATCTGAGTCTGATAGCATCAACAGAGGCTCCATTTAGTTTAAGAGTTTGGAGAACTCTCAAGAATTGTTTCACATGGCTCGTCGAATCTTCACTCTTTGATCCGCCAAATTTGTTGGCTGAGACCAATGAGATAAGTGCTGGTTTGATCTCAAAATTTGCTGCATCCACACCTGGATAGAGAATATTGTCTTGTTGCTCAATTTCACCTGCAACATAATCAAGAAGTCTTCTCCCTTGTTGTTGTCTCATGAATTGCCCTTGATCTTGTTGATTATGTGGGTGTTGGTAGTATTGGCCATATGGGTGAGGTTGGTATGGGTGCATAAATGGAGGAGGTGGGTAAGGATATGGGTAAGTGTATGGATATGGAGGAGGAGGTTGGTTTTGGTGATTTTGGTAGGGATGTGGTGGATAAATTTGGGGATGTGTTTGGGGAGGAATTTGTTGGAAATTTTCAAATCCTGGTGGTCTTTGATCTCCAAAGAAAGGATTATTTCTATCTCTGGGAGTATCAACGGGTGTATTTTGAGGTGGCGTAGGATTTGTATTTGGAATTAGGTTTTGGCCATTTGGATTATTGGGATTGTTTTGAAAATCCTCCATGATCAGATCTGGAATTTTAAGTTCAAGGGTTCGTGTTTTTCTTCTTTTCCTTAATTCTTTTTCAAAATCAAGGTTAAGTGGTTGCATTCCTTCACTCCCTTGAGAGCGAGTATGCATACACTTTTTTAAGAGTTTTTTTTTATTAGTGCACAAAAAATGTTTTTTTTTTTTTTGTAAAAGTGATGAGAACGGGTAAAAAAAAACTTAGTCTCCAGATAAATAATAACAAACACTAATATTAACTAATTATCAATCAATAACACTATGCCATTCCCCGGCAACGGCGCCAAAATCGTGACATGCCAAAATGTGTAGTGTGAAATGGTGTAAAAATGTGAATGGAAATGATGTTTTAATTGGCTTGTAACGATATAGTATAGAGTAAGTGAGTATCGTTCCGCTAGAGAATGGCTCAAAAAGAGAACTAGAATTAACGATTGATTTTTAGCTAATCACAAATTAATAACATTTTGCAATGGAGCTAAGTGAATAGATTTTTTTTTTAACTTGTTTTTGTTAATGCGAAATTGCTAGAGAGTAAAATAAATCACAATACTTGGTAATTTAACAATTAATGATATAGAGAAAATTAGGCTTGGGCTAAGAGTAATTTTATTTTGATGTTCATAATAATAAAGATTTAACTAATTAACTTAGTTACTTTTAGATGTGTGAAAGATTTACAAATGGTAATCTTCTAATCGTTCCCACGACTTAGTTGATTACACTATCTTAAATTAATTCTGCTCCCGCAGTAATTTTATTAAGACAGTAAAAAGTACAAAATCAAATTATCCTAAATTCCTTAACACTTCCGTGTAGCAATTTAGTGGGTGAATTAATAAAAAGTATTTTAATGAAACTTCACTCCCGTGATAATATTCATTTCCCAATATAATGTATTTAGCAAATTAGAATATTCAACCCAACACTCCTAAAATTAACCAAGTAATAGTTTTAACCAATTATTATCGTATGAACATTAACAATAAAAATTACATCTTGCCCAAACCTAAACTTAATTTAGTTACACATAATTACAGTAAACGAAATAAAAGTAAAACTAATGATAGGCATAATTAATTTAACAGATTAAAGAAAATAAAATGCGTATTTGAATAAGAACCTGATGGCATAAATAATGAGATGGAATAGAGAAAGTGAAATCCTTAAGCTGAGAATGATTCTGACTGATACTTCCCAAATGAACTTGATTGTTGAAATTAAAGAACTAAAATTCTGGAAATGGAAATACGAACTGAAATTTACAGAAAGTGTTCTTGACAGAATCACTTTTATTATATGACTACTACTATGAACAAAGCTAAAGAAAAGAGGAAGAAGATTTCTCTCCCAATTGGTGTGTTTTGAAGCTCCTGGATGGCCCTTTATATAGTAGTAGGAGAAGGGGCTTAAGCATAAAAATCCTGAAATGAAGGTGCTGAAATCAATTTTTTTGGTTAGCTTTTACTTCAATCTTCCATCATCGCCGCTATCAATTTCCTTCTGCAAATAGTAGCTCTCATGTTCAATGAAAGTGTTTGTAGGTCCCACCAATCAATGAAATCAATTTGGATTACTTGCTTCTTTCCTTCTTGGGAGTTTTACGTGGGAGTCTCCAATCACTGAAAGAGTGAATAGTACTTGCTAGCCAAAGTCTTTGCTAGCCAAAGTCTTTGCTAGCCAAAGTCTTGGCTCTTATCCGCCACTTACATTATTTGGGCCGGTTAACTGTTTGATCAGTTAACTGGTCGGCAGTTAACCGGTACATTTTATTGCGGACAATCTAATTTATTTTGAAGTAATTTCGGGTCGCTTGATAAAATATTTCAGAGTTAAAGTAAGGACCCGCTTCACTTTGCTGATTTTTCTGTCTTCACTCAGGAGTAATTTTATTTCTTTTCAAAATTTCAATTTACATCCCGAATTATCCTGAAATTCAAAAATATACCAAAACAAGTGCAATACCTTAAAATGTTCAAGATGATAAAAATCAATCCTTTTTTATTTAAAAAATGAAAAATAAAATATTAAAAGTGTGACAAAACAAGATCATAAATATGGTAAATTAGGAGTGCATCACCGTTTATCACATATGACCGCCAAACTTTGGCGTAGGCACCAAGGCCCCACGATAATGATACTAACAAAGGGTCCACAATCCCCCGGTTATTGATCTGTAAATTAAAACACGATAACATTGGGTAATTATTAAAAATTATTACTTAATAATATATATAATTAATGTGTGTGTATGTATATATACCTGATACTTGTACGACGGTATAAAATGAGAGTCCACCAATGCATCAATTTCATTGTCAGAGAATGCTGAGTGCTCCGCTCTAAATTCACTTTGAAGTCAAAAATGAAAATATTATAAATCAACTACCTTAATTGTATATATATTACAAAGATAACTACAAAATTTAACTTACTAATAAAACGGTAAGATTTCTGGACAATTAATGAGAATATAAGTATGCGCAATTTGTAATTCTTTTCCCACGATGTATCGATTTGTCCAAGCTCCTTTACCTCTACCTGGGTAATTGAAAATGGAAACTACATTTTCGTATAAATCCTCGTCAATGTCATCGTTTCGGGCAGGTCTCTTTCTTCTAGTGATGACTTCACGCTCAAAATAAAAAGATGAGAACGTTGAGATTTCTTGTTGAAGATACGCTTGACAAATTGAAGCCTCAACGTGTGCCTTGTTGGTCACTTTCTTTTTCAACTCTCCAAGAAATATGCAATGTAAAATAAAAGTGGTACACAGATTAATGTTGTTATGAAATAAATATTCAAAGATAAATGAAATTGTGACTAATCTTTCAAATCTGTACATCCAGCGATAGAAGACGGGTCCACCATTTAAAGCCTCATACGGAAGATGTATTACAAGATGTTCCATTCCATCGAAAAATGATGGAGGCATTATCTTTTCCAAATTACACATCAGCATGGGAACAAACTCTTCTAGTCTACGGAGGGATGTTGCATCCAAAACGCTTGAGCATATCGACTGAAACAACAAACTGATCTCAGTAATGCAGGACCATACGTGTTCAGGACAATCATGAGTTTTCATGCTCGACGTCGTTGCAAGTTTGTCCATGTCCACGCATCTGGACAAGTTGGAGCAGTAGCCATCTCGAAACTTCAGAGACACGAGCCATTGTAATATCGATTCCTTTTGTGCTTGTGTGACTTGGTAGACTGCTTTTGGAATATTGTTACCCTGATATTCTAGATCAACAGACAGTTCGGGCCTATCACACCAAATAGCCATATCTTTTCGAGATGCAAGACCGTCTTTAGTTTTGCCTTTGAAATCCATCACTGTGTTAAATATATTGTCAAACACGTTTTTCTCAGTGTGCATGACATCTAATTGTGACGAATGAGAAGGTCTTTCCAATATGGTAACTCCCAAAAGATACTCCTCTTTGTCCACTTATGGGTATCACAAAACCCATATGGCTTCTTATTTGGTTCTTGCATAACCGTAGGAATACGTCGAACCCAGTTAAAAATTGTTTCCCAGGTCAATCTCGGGGGCGGGGTGTCTCGTATCACTCTACCTGTAATGAAAGAATTTTTGTCCTTTCGATATTGGTGGTTTTCCGGGAGAAATTTGCGGTGACAATCAAAGTAACTTGGTTTTTTACTGAAAGTTAGCCAATTGGCACCTGATTTCTCCATGCATATCGAACATCCCATAAGACCATGTGTGCTCCACCCCGAAAGCATGCCATAGGCAGGGAAGTCGTTAATGGTCCAAATGATGGCAGCTTTCATTATAAAATTTTGATCCCTTGAAACATTATATGTTGGTGTCCCAATGGCCCAAAGTTCTTTCATCTCCTCGATAAGGGATTGAAGATAAATGTCTATCTTTTTCCCTGGATCATTGGGACCCAGACAGATTAGAGTCAAAAAGATAAAGTGACTTTTCATGCACATGTCGGGAGGGAGATTGTAAGGAATTAACATGACCGGCCAACATGAATAGTTCTTCCCAAACCTTCCAAATCCACATAAGGTTCATAAAATATCGGATTTTCATCCTCATGTGGTTGATACGAGGTCGAGGCTTAAGGAGGATCGTGAGATGGTTGTGGGGGGTTGAACTGAGACATCGATGCACCGTATGCGTCATATACCATACGTTGCTCCCATCTCATTTCAGCAGGGTCTCTCCACGCACTCATCTCTGCAGGGACGTTACGAGACGAACCTACCGTTTGTGGTAAAACAGATGGATCCAAAGGTTCGCCATGAGAAGTCCAATTATAATAATTGGGACCGAAACCGTCCGCGTACAAATCCCACCCAACTTCGTCTGGGTGTTTAAATTTATGATTTTTACACTTTGAACATGGACATCTGATTTTATCACCACTCATATAAGTCGGGTGTTCAAGTGCGAATTTAATAAACTCCTCAACTCCTTCAAGAAAATTTGATTGCATTCCGTACAATACCGCATGTTTATCATACATCCAAATTCTATTTTGTCTATACATTATGCCTTAATATTATAATAAAAAAATTATACAGGTTAAAAACTCTAAATTATAAACATTACCAATATATGTGGAGTATTATTAATATATTAAATTTCAATGCAATCATTTAAATTATTAACTAATAACCAATATTATGATTTGAACACTAAATACACTAAATTATTACGTTAATTTTTTATGTGTACGAACATTTATATATTAAATTTCACTAAAATTCCATTCAAATTAACTAATTCCCTAAAATTAACTAATTCCCTTAAATTTTACTAAATTTCACTAAAATTCCCTTAAAATTAACTAATTCCCTAAAATTCCCTTAAAATTAACTAATTCCCTTAAAATTAACTAATTCCCTTAAATTTCACTAAAATTCACTAAAATTCTATTAAAATTAATTAATTCCCTAAAATTAACTAATTCCCTTAAATTTCACTAAATTTCACTAAAATTCCCTTAAAATTAACTAATTCCCTAAAATTCCCTTAAAATTAACTAATTCCCTTAAAATTAACTAATTTCCTTAAATTTCACTAAAATTCACTAAAATTCCCTTAAAATTAACTAACGTCCAATAATTAATATTATTAAACTATAAACATGCACAATACGTTAATGGCATTTAATCCACAATACTAAAATTAACTAATTCCCTTAAAATTAACTAATTCCCTTAAATTTCACTAAAATTCACTAAAATTCGCTTAAAATTAACTAACGTCCAATAATTAATATTATTAAACTATAAACATGCACAATAGGTTAATGGCATTTAATCCACCATACTAAAATTATCAACATCTTAATCTTATTAATAATGCACATTTAACAATTTACTAAATTAAATAATATGAGCAAGGCCAATAATTTGAGAATATATATAAATAATAAACTCATTTAAATTAAATAATACTTAAATTTGACTAATATTATAATTTTTTTTACTAATTTACGTAATTCACAATCATAAATCATCATACTTAAGTAACGTTTCAATTAACTAACCCTAATTTAAATCATTATTAATCCTAAATTAGGCTGCCTTAACAATAATTGCTAATAAAGAAATCATATACTTATATTTAATCATATATAAACTCATTTGAATTAAATAATACTTACATTTAACTAATAATATCATCTACAATTTAACTAATGTATGTAATTTTAATTAAATACAACTTAATTAACCCTATGTTTAAATTACACCTACGTTTAACGTAACTAAATTTAAGGAATTTATTTCGTTAATTAATTAAGTATTTAATTTAATTACTTAATGCATTTAAATGCATTTAATTTAAATTTAACTAATAATATTAACAAAAGTTTAATTAACTAATGTAGCTAATTAATTAATTTAACTTAATGCGTCACTACGATTAAACATACGTTTAAGTAACTTATTTTTCACTAAATTAAATGAAATCGACATATATATATAATTCGTCACTTAGTTTATAATTAATAATCTCTCTAATTTATTACACTTAAAATGAACCAACTAATTCATACAAAAAATACGTAATTCAAATTACATACCTTATCTGCATAAACACGAAAAATGATATGAGATGGGTAGATTACATCCTTCAATTCTATCTGGATTATATCTGGAATAGATGGTGTGATTTTGTTGAATGAAGCGGAGGCTGCATATATAAAACTTGTAGTCACGGACGTTGTCACGCCCCGGACCTAGCCGGACACGTCAACAACCCGCCGTACAGTACGAATAGTCTACCGCAGTCCAACTCATCCATACTATACAAGGCGTCATGAATATCATTCACACATAGTACATCCATAAACAAACATAATGTAAATCATTCATTTAAAACAGCGGAAGCATTAATACAATTGTTCAGGCCACACTTGGCATAACTAGGCATACAAGCCCCCAAAGTAATTATTCAAAAATAATATCCATGAGCATTAATGTAATTGTTTTTAAAACAGAACGGAAGAAGCACGAACCACGTCTTCTCCCCTGGA